GGATCTCTGTGAGTTCAAGACCAGCCTGGTCTATATAGGGAGTTCCAGACCAGCTGGGGCTATAGGAAGACCTTGTCTCAAAAAGACCAAAACCAGAACAATGCAGTGAATGTCCTAGGGGCCATCAAGAGGAAATTGAAACGTAGATGACATTGTTGGTCTTAAAGTGACTGACTGGGGGGGGGGGCAGGTTGTAGACTAGGTTGGCCTTGAACTCACAGAGATCCACCTGCCTCTGCCTCCTGAGTGTTGGGATTAAAGACATGTGCCACCATGCCTGGCTGTGACTGGCTTTTGACAAATAGTGACCATAGATGAGGACTTGGGTCCACCGTTACTGAGAACTCCATGAAAACGTGAGCCCAGTGAACAGCAAGCTGTTCTTCAAAGTGTAAACCAGGTGAAAGCATTCACTGACCTACTGACCAACAGTCTCTGAAGATTTAAGTTAGTGGGCCTGCCCTCAAATTGGGCTAGAATTCAAATTTGCAACTGTCCAAATGGGAGTTCACAGGCTGAGAAGTAAAATAGCACTAGCTCCCTGAGTAACCCAGCAGAACAAGCAAACTCATCAGAAAGAAACAGTCCTCAACACACGTGTTTGTACAGGCTTCCAATGTGTGACCTTGCCTTAGTCCATTTGTACTGCTGTAACAATACCAGACTGGTAATTTAGGATATAGACTAAGTAGTATGAACTTATTTCTAAATGGTAAAAAGTTATTTTCTCCCAGATCTAGAGGCAGAAGGCCATGCTCAAGGCAGAACTTGGGGTTTAGTAAGCATTCTTCCACAGCGAGGTGGCACATGTTAGTGCTGTTAACTAATTCTGGGAGTGGAGCTCTCATGATCTACTATTGTTGCTTTTGGGATTGAGTTTCGGCATGAATTCTGGAGAACACAAAAATACTCAAAATCCCAAAGCTGATGGAGACAAGCCAACAAAAAGTAGCAAACTTCCAGACTTGAAATCATAGACTATGAAGGAAGTATGGTTTATTCAGAATTATGAAACTGTACTGTCACTGCAATAAGTAATGTTATTAAGCCAGGGTACTAATAAAACAGCAAAAACAGTAAACTGAAGATTTGGATTAGCTCCAAATCCAGCACTTTAACCTGGAGAAATTCTGCAAAGAATCACTGCCTTTTGATTTGGCTAGAAGATGGCTCAGCAGTTAGGTGCACTGTCTACTCTTGCAGAGGACCCAGATTTGATTCCCAGCACCCACATACATGGAAGCTAACAACCGTCCATAACTCCAGTTCCAGGGGATCCGACACCCTCATCTAACCTCCAAGGGCATTGCATGACATGGGTGCACATACACACATGCAAGCAATACTCATATATATAAACTTTAAAAAAGAAAAAAAAATTGAGCAGAGCAAAATTCATGGTACTCCTACCTGTAGTCGTAACACAGGAGACTGAGGCCGAAGTTTGAGTTCGTCAGCATGAGCAATAGAGTAAGTCTCTGAGAAACAAAAATGTTAGGTTTCTTAATTTCTACTAACAATACATGTTTCAGGGGACTGGAGAGATGGCTCAGCGGTTAAGAACACTGAATGTTCTTACAGAAGACCCAGCTTCAAATCCCAGAACCCACATGGCAGGCAGCTAATAGCTGTCTGTAACTCCAGTTCCAGGGTATCTGACAGCCTCTTCTGTCCTCCGAGGGCATTGCATGACACAGGTGCACTTACCTACATGCTGGCAATACACGCATACACATAAAAAATATTTTAAAAAACCCAAAAAACATGTTTTAGTGACTAACAGCAGTGATTCAAGTAGCTTTCACAGCAATAGCAGTAACAGGGCTAGGGGATGTGGCTCAATTGATAGAGTGCTTGCCTAGCGTGCAATAAGCCCTGGGTTCCACCCCCAGCACCACATAAACCAGGGGTGGTTTGATCCTGTAATCCCAGCACTTAGCTGGAGTAGGGTTAGAAGTTCAAGCTCGCTGTGTGTGGTGCACACCTTTGATCCCAGCACTTGGGAGGCAGAGGCAGGCAGATCTCTGTGAGTTCCAGAGAGGCAACAGGGAGACCTTGTCTCACCCCCCCCCCAAAAAAAAACCTCATCCTCAACTACACAGTGAGTTCAAGACTGGTCTGGGCCACAGGGGACCCTGTCAAAAAGTATTTCTTCAAATAATCAGATTTGATCAGGAAACCCAGTTTCTGATCACAAAACACTGTTTCTAAAGTGGAACTTATAAAACATACAGATTTTTCCCCCTATGGTAACATTAAAACTATATTGAGGTTATGGTGGTACACACCCAGCACTCAGGAAACAAAGGTTAGTCCGCATAGTAAGTTTCAGGCCAGTCAGAACTATGTGTGAAACCCTGTCTCAAAAAAATTAAAATGTGGGGGGTTGGAGAGATGGCTCAGCAGTTAAGGGTAAGTACTGGCTGTTTTTATAGAGGGCCCTGATTTGGTTCCCAGCACATGGTGGCGGTCAACCGTCTGTAACTCCAGTTCCAGGTGATCTGACTCCCTCTTTTGAAGTCCATGGGCAATACATGACGGGTGCATTTACATGTATGTTGGCAATACATTCAAACACATAAAATTTTTAAAAATAATCGTGGTGGTGTATGCCTTTAGTCCCAGCACTCAGGAGGCAGAGGCAGGCAGATCTCTGAGTTTTAGACAGCCTGGACTACACAGTGAGTTCAGGCCAGGTAGGGGCTACAGGGAGACCCTGTCTCAAAAATGGAAACAAAAACCGCACGACACAGGCACACTTACCTACGTGCAGGCAGTACACGAATACACATAAAAATAATAAAATATAAAAAATACAAAAATGATAAAAAATGTTTTACGGGGCTGGAGAGATGGCTCAGCCGTTAAGAACACTGACTGCTCTTGCAGAGGACCTGGGTTCAATTCCTGGCACCCATATGGCAGCTACGAACCATCCTTAACTCCAGTTCCAGGGGAATCCGAAGCCCTTTTCTGACCTCTGCGGCATTGCATGACATGGGTGCACTCACATACATGCAGGCAATACACTCATACACATAAAATAATTTTTTAAAAAATATTTTTAAAAAGTTCTACAATGTGGGCTTGAAGCCAGGCGTGGTAGAGCGCATGCTTTTAATCCCAGCACTAGGGGGCAGAGGCAGACGATTCTGTGGTCTATATAGTGAGTTCCAGGCCAGCTGGGGCTACAGGGCGACCCTGTCTCAAAAAAAAAAGGTGGAAAGCACTTGCTGCTCTTTCATAGGATCAGAATTCAGCTCAAGTCATCACCTATGTTGGACAGCACATGACCACCTGTAATACCAGCTTCCACAGACACATGAATTAAAAAAGCACTTTTTGAAAATTCACAAAATGAAAATGACTATAGTTTTGGAAGCCTAATATTTGTTTCTACATAGAATTCATATAATTGTACAAAATTTATTTTTTTTAATTTTTAAAATTATTTTTATTTTATGTGTATGAGTGTTATGCCTGCATGTACATAAGTGCCCCCGTATCTTGCAATGCCCACGGAGGACAGAGAGGCTGTCAGATCCCCTGGAACTGGAGTTACAGACAGTTGTTAGCCACCATATGGGTGCTGTGAATCAAACCTGGGTCTTCTGCAAGAACAGTGTTCTTAACCGCTAAGCCATCTCTCCAGCCCCACAAGATTTATTTTTATTACTTTAAATTATGTGTGTATGGGTTTTTGAATGTGAATGAGGAGGCCAGAAGCAAAGGATTCCCTTAGTGCTGGAGTTACAGGTGGTTGGGAGCTTCCCAACCACTGTGCTAGAAACTGAACTCGGGTCCTCTGCAAGAGCAGTACCAGCTCTTAACCACTGGACCAACTCTCCAGCCCTGACCACCAGTTACTTGTCCTACATTTAATTTTGTGTTAAGCCAGGCATGGTAGCGCATGCCTTTAATCCTAGCACTTAGGAGGCAGAGGCAAGTGGATGGCTATGAGTTCAAGGCCAGTCTAGCCTGGTCTACATAGTGAGTTTCAGGCCAGCTGAGGCTAGAGGGAGACCCTATCTCAAAAAGATGAAAAAAGAATCTGGTAAGATTTAAATTAAGAAGTTTTAATAAAGTATATCCCTAACTTTTTTTTGTTCTTTTGAGACAGGGTCTCCCTGTAGCCCCAGCTGGCCTGAAACTCACTATGTAGACCAGCCTGACCTTGAACTCACCAAGATTCGTCTGCCTTTGCCTCCCAAGTGCTGGGATTAAAGGCATGCACCACTATGCCCAGTCTTAACTTTTTTTTAAAGTTTAATTTCCTTAGTCTAAGGCTATGGAGATGGCTCAGAAGGGAAAATGCTTGCTCACAAGCTTAAGGACCTGAGTTCAGATCCCCAGAACACACTTAGAGAACCAGGGCATGGTAGCACGTTCATAACACCAGTGCTGGACCAAGGTGTAGACAGGCAGATCCAGGGGGCTGTGTGGCAGGCCAGTCTAGCCAAAAGAGCCCCATCATGTTCAGTGAGACCCTGTTCAAAAAATAAGATGGAGGGGCTGGCAAGATGGCTCAGTGGGTAAAGGTGCCTGCTGCTAAGCTTGACAACTTGAGTTCCATCCTGAGGACTCACACAGGAGAACTGACTCTCAGAAGCTGTCCTTGAACCCCCCTCCCCAAATTAATTCTTTTTTTGGTCTTTCTTGAGACAGAGTCACCCTATAGCCCCAGCTGGCCTGGAACTCATTATGTAGACCAGGCTGGCCTTGAACTCACAGAGATCTGCCTGCTTCTGCCTCCCAGTGCCGGAATTGAAGGCATGCGCCACCAGGCACGGCTCCAAATCTATTTTTAAATGTAAAAACAAAATACAACATGGAGAGCAATAGAAGACAGCAGGTAGTTGACCTCTGGCCTCCACACCTGCACAAATAGACCCCCCCCAACACATGCATACACCACACACAAAATAATTTCTTTACCCTTTAACATGTTAAATAACTATGTAGTTTATAGACTAAAAATAATGTCAGTCTCAACCTGAAAATTTAGCTTTTAAACAAGATTGAACTTTTATTTACATATTTCTGACACATTAATGGCTTCATACAATTAACTAAATCTAACAATAGTGGTGAAAATGGAACATAAATGACAACAATTTCAATTTTCAATTAGGTTGAAATACTTTTTCACTAGCTGATGGACAGGACACATGAGCAGCCATTATAAAGTCATGGGCTGTATGCAGATTCACTTAAAACGGAAAGCCACATAACTATTAAAACAACAAGAATTTGCAAATGCAAACATTACATACACAAGTAAGATGCATGCAGGGCTATCACATTTACTCCTTACCCTTAAAGCCATTTTTAAAGTAAACTGGAGTAAGCATCTTAATAATGTTATATATGTACATCAAGGCACATTCATTGCTTGTGCTTTAGGAATGATTTACATAAGATTATGTTTATATCTTAATTTTATACCTTAAGACAGCTTCTAATACCTAAAAGCTTAATTTTGACAATTACAGCTTGAATGATAGTTTTCTGGAGAGAAATGTGGCATCCCCCCATGGTTATTTTGAAAACTGAATATTCGACAGCTCACAGAGGCAAGAACTTCAAAAATCAAACACATGAATTAATATAACTTAGTTTTAAGGTAACTTTACAAAATACTTCAACAATTTGATAATATCATAATCAATTTCCTTAGTATAATATAATGATGGCTACACTGGAGAATTTTCAATATTCTGAAATTAACAGTGTATAGCATCCATATGGCCACTATAGATGTCGATATTGTTATATTTCTCAACTGCAGTTTTTCAACAAATTTAAACATGACACAAAAGCTAAAACATACCAAACATCTTATCAACCAGAAACTTCCCATCAACAGCGTTTAGTAACAGTATTCTCGTGGCCAGTTACTTGCCTGGGAGATGGTACAATGAGGCTCTAACAGGCATCTCATGCACTCTAGTGGCATTTTTTAAATTAGCTTTTCATTTATGGGTTTCCCATACAGATAGATAAATTATGCAACTTGATTACAACACGTAATTCATTAAGTGCTTTAAAACAGGAAAGATTCCCTGACTTAGAAGTGATTAAAATAAATAGTAAGTCAAGAATCACAGATCTAAAGTATTTTAGAGATGTAATATACTTATGCATCCTACAGATATGCTTTATATTAGAATTTTTAAAATTCACAAACAGCAACAAAAGTCACAGAACCTCTATTTTGAGAATAAAACAGAAGGAAAGCCAACTGGTGCTGCCTTTTAAATTCAAAATATGTAATAAAATAATGCCAAAATACACATGAAACTGTACAGCTTCAAGTTTAGTACAGTTATTTACAAACATTAATTCATAAAAGGCATAGCATGATAAACCACTACCATCAAATAGACTTTTGTTTTCAATTTCTTTACAGAAAGTGGACTTTCCTACAGAATTCACTTCCAAACAAAAGATTTGGAAATGTCACCAACATCCCAGAGCCTTGGCATAAGACTCTGAGCGGACAGTGACATGAAACTGTAAACAGACGCTCTGTAAGTTCAGTGGCACTCTTACTCTTCTCTGTGACTGCAGTATTCATTCCACTTCTGAAATATGTGCCACTTCCACCTCAACAGTCTGAATAGCTTCTGCAACCTCAGATAGCTTCTGTCCTTGCTGCTGTGCCAACACATAATTAACCACTTGCATAATACTTTGGTCAGAAAGGGTAGATACTGATGGACACTCTTCAGTAGCTGCAACAGCTTCAAGAACTTCCATAGTTTCTCCTGTCACCACCACACTCTCGAGTTCTTGAGGACCACTGCTTTCTTGTTCCTGCATGTCTGCAGTTAGGATGCTAACCGCATGTTCCACTTGGGTTCCTTGGTTATGAAACTGCAGAGTGTCTTTTTCCAGCATAATTTTGCAAGGCACATAGTCTCTGTGGAATTTAGTCATATGCTTTCGAAGTGTTCGAGCATCTATGTAGGCTTCGCTACACACGGGACACACATAGGGCCGTTCACCAGTATGTGTTCGGACATGACGCTTTAGCGATCGGGCATCAGCCCAAGCTACTCCACATGTTAAGCACTCAAAGGGCTTAACTCCTGTCAAACAAGGGGGAAAAAGATAAAGGTATGTGTGGTAAGGTTTGAAGTACCAAACAATATAAAAATCTTCTTGCGAATGTTTTTAAAGTACAATAGCCAACAAACCTTTTCATTTTTACTAATAATCTTTTAGTTAGCATCTAAAAGTTTTGTGTAGAATAAACAAGATTTTTGCACTATAATCTCTGTAAAGGCATTCTCATGGACAGAAGCTACTGACAGGCAATTTTGAGTTTCTGTGCATAATCTTATTTTTCCTTTCACTGTAATCTTATTAACTCTAGGATAAAAGCTTTCAAAACATTACACTCTCAGATTCCAGCTCACTTAAATAAATCTACCAAAATACAGGATTAATCTCCTGTCAAGGAAGGAGGAAGGTAATATAACAAGCGAAGTACTGACAAAGAAACACTACATGCTCTTTTCCAGTGGGATAAGAATAACTCTAAGTACAGTTACCTTCATGGTTGTTCATGTGTCTCCTGTACTCTCTCAGCTGAGTGAACTTTCTTCCACACTGATCACACACCCGTTCCAGGTTTTGCTTTGCTCTTCCTTTCTTCCCATGGGTGGCTTTCTTTACATGTCTTCTGAATAAAGCTTTTTCATAAAATTCTTTGCCACAGATATTACACCTAAAATAGGGGAAGTGGCCTTACTTATTTTTTCAAAGCATCAGTGGCCATAAGAATCAACCAGAAGTACATATATTTCTCTCAGATGAGCTCAGCTCCTTCTCAGATTTCCTCACCTGTAAGGCTCAGTGACAGAATGGGACTTCACATGAGAATACCAATCTTTCTTCCAGCTGTAGCATTTATCACAATATTGGCACTGGAATGGCTTCACACCAAGATGCTTGTTCATGTGCTGGCGAAGATCCCTAGCTTCAAAGAAACTTTTTTCACATCTGCAATGAAATTTAACCACCCAATTTATCATCTTTAAAACAAGTCTCCAAGACCTCACTATATTCTTAAGTATCTGAGGCTCTATAAGATGATTCCAAATTAAAAATAAACAAGAAAAAATTACAATAAATAGCTAGGCATGGTGGCATACGCCTTTAATCCCAGTGCTCTGGAGGCAGAGGCAGGCAGATCTCTGTGAGTTCAAGGCCAGCCTGGTGTACACAGTGAGTTCCAGGTCAGCTGGAGCTACAGAAAGACCCTGTCTAAAAAAAAAACAAAAAAATCCCTAAACAAAAACAGAAAACAAAACAAAAATCAAACATCCTCAGCACCCACATACAAAGCCAAATATAGCTGCCTGTGTCTGCAACCCCCAGCACTGGGGGAATGGGGCAGAAGCAGGGGCAAGCAGATCCCCAGCCAGGAAACCACTGGCCACCCAGCCTAACTCAGTGGGGAGAGGGTGATCTTCCAGTTCACTGAGAGGTTCCTCTTCAGCCTAATACTAGAAAACTAGAGATGCTCTCCCTTTGCCACCTTTGTGTCACACCTGTGCTCAGTTACAGGTGTGGAGAGGCCTATACGCAGGCAATACATGCATACACATAAAATAAAAATAATAAAATATTTTTTAAAAATTACAATAAACATAAATTTTCAGTCTTGCATCAAGGAAGCTAGGTTTTTAAGTTTCTATTCGGAATGCTAGAAATGTCTAAGATTCATGCAGAGTCCCAAAAGGTTATAACACAGGGAATTTATTGTCCACATCTTATCCCTCTCTCCTGTTCCCTCTTTCTTTTTTGGTCTTTTTGACACTGGGCCTCCCTGTAGCCCTAGCTGGCCTGGAACTAGCTGTGTAGACCAGACTGTCCTCTCCTCACAAAGATCTACCTGCCCATTTTCCCAGTGCTGGGATTAAAGGCGTATACTACCACACCCAGCTCTTGCTCCCTCTCTCTACATCACCTTCCTCTTCCTCTTTTGCCCGTGTTTTGAAAGTCAGTTTCACCCCTGAAGCCAGGAATAAAATAATGATTCAGGCCTAATCAGAAAAATAACAGGATTCCCCTAGCCACATTAATCAGCTCAAATGCCAAATGACTTAACTTGATCCAAACAGAGTGAAAGGGCTTTTACAGGAACTATCAGAATTTTGACAATTTGGAAGTTGAAAGGATGTAAAGCTAAAACATTGAGCAGATGACTTTGTACATACAGAGCTTGAGGGAAACCATTTACTATTCAATCTTAATCCAACTCAACACCAAACCACTTAAGACTTCCAGACGTTTTCATTCAAACCAGTTTGAGTTGGATTTTTCTTTCACAAAAAACAAGAAAGATATTGAGCAAAATGGCTCAGCAGGTGAGAGTACTTGCTGCTGAGCCTGATGACCTGAGTTTGATTCCAGAATCTACATGGTAGAAGGAGAGAACTGACTCCATTCCTACAAGCTGTCCTCTGACCTCTGTGCACACACAGACACAGACACACACACACAAATAATGATAAACCCTATATTTGCTGCTATTGTTGGGTGTGTTGAGACAGAGTTTCGCTATGTAGCCCAAGCATGTCTCAAATGTGCAATTCTGCCCCAGCTTCTCAAGTACTGAGATTAAAGGCATGTGCCACCATGCACAACTCTATCTGTTCTTTAAAATAAGACTAACTGGGCAGGTGTGGTAGCACACACCTTTAATCCCAGCACTGGAGAAGCAGGGGCAGGCAGATCTTTGTGAGACTGAGGACAGTCTGGTCTACACAGGGAGTTATAGGCCAGCCTGGGCTATAAGGAATCCTATCTCAAAAAAGGTCTTTAAGAAAAACAGTTACCTGAACTCTGCTCCCCAGAGCTCAGCAGCAGCAGAATGAGGACAAAGGCCTACATTCCTAATAAATGTTCCTAGTATACGAGAGGATCTACAGTCAAAGAACTATGGCTACTTAAATCTATCTGGTTCTCTGAAGGAGCCCATGCCTGCCTTTTATTCATATCCTGACTTTACTATAACTGTGGGGTTGGGGTAAAGAGATTTTTAGAAACACTTAAAGGCAAATGCATTAGCCAGTGCCTCCTAGGGCAAGGAATAAGCTTTGTGGAAATACAAACATCAAAAGCATGAGAATGAGATGCTTTGGGGAATAAGGACTTTGAAAATTCCTTACCTATTTTTGGGAATCAAAATGCTTAAGATTGAACATATGCTTAGGTAAAATCTGAAAATGTACCAAATTGTCACCATTGCTAACCTTCTGAATCTATACAAAATGGAAGTGAAGGCTAAGACAAAGTTGGTAAACTGCTAGGTTCATTATTGCAGAGACTCTAGAATTAGTATTTCTACAATACTGAATGTACTGAAAAGTCCCTTTACGTGTGGTAGCACACACCTTTAGTCCTACCACTTGGGGGGTAGAGGCAGATGGATCTTTGTGAGTTCAAGGCCAGCATGGTCTACATAGCAAGTTCCAGGAGAGATGTGGCTACAGGGCAACCCTTTTCAAAAAGACCGAAAAAAAAAAAAAAATTAAAAGCCCCTTTAAAATTAGTTTTAGAGTATATAACCTTTATCTCAATTATTTAAAAAAAAAAAAAAAAAGTGAAACAGTGTATAGTGCTTCAGAAATTCCAGCTGGTTGTAGAATGTTTTCTATAGTCCCTACCCTCAGGTATTACCTAGGAAAACTCTCTTTGTCACTTAAAAAATAAAACTTTTAAAGCAAATAGTAAGACCTTGGCAAGATAAAGACTGACTAAGTCAAACAGTAAACTGGAATTATACTTTAATATTATCTTTGGCTACTTTCTTGTAAAAAAACAATATTCAAATAAACTAGGTAAGATGCTGAAATTAACTGTACATATTACATATTAAATACTTACTGAGTACAATGATAGCCTCGAACCTCAGGCTTTGGCTGGTGTTTCTTTAAGTGCTTGCTGAGTCCAGAGCCTCTGTGAAAGGACTTTCCACAAACTGAGCAAAAGTATTTGGACTCTCCTGTGAATAAATGAAAAACCATATCATGAATACAGTAATCAGGTCCTCTTTCCATAATATTATATTTCAGAAGTTATTTTATCAAGGTAACAGATAAACTGTTATAACATTTGGTAAGAATCTACAAAAAAACAACAGAATATTTCCTCTCAAAACTATAGTACAGTCCAGAAATATTTAGAATATTGTGTTATGTCTGGAGAGAGGTCTCAGTGGTTAAGAGTACTGGCTGCTCTTGCAGAGGACCAGGGTTCAGTTCCCAGTACCCACATGGCAACTCACAACTGTCTGTAACTCTGGTTCCAGGGGATCCGACACCCTTTTCTGGCCTCCACAAGCCTTTCGTGCACATGGTACACATGGTACAGTATACATACATGCAGGCAAAACACTCATACACATAAAATAAATGAATACTAAAACTAAAAAACAGTGTGTTAGTATTCTGTCACTGATACAAATAGTTGAGAGGTGGACTGCCTCAGTCACAATACTTCCAACATTTATAGGTGAAGGACAGAGGACAGGGGGTGCTGGAGATGAGGCTGAGGGAATGGTAACAGGAAAAGCTATGTGAAGGAGCTATGGAGGGTAACCTTGAAGTTAGAGGACATTTCATAATGGTACAAAAGTCACCGAGTATACAGCATCACTAGGTGATAGCCTCTTTCTGGATAGTCACTGTATATGTATGTCATTGTTGACTGAAATATGATTATGCCGTGCATAACTATACTAGAAAAGGCCAGTTCCTAAGAATTTGATAGTCTGAATAATCTATGAATTGTAACAGGATTGACTATAAGTCCTGGAGCAGGTATCTACCTTCATTAGCCACCCTTACATTCTTGCTTTAAATGTGAAGCACATTTGAAAATTAAGTATGTGTGGATTACAGATGCTGATAAAATTATAAGCTAACAACTATGTTAACATCTACATCTGCCTACAATTTAAATTTTTGAAAGCATGATCATTTCTTTCATTTCTTTTAGTGTCTTGTATTTGACAATAGTAGACATTTTTCTGCACTGAAAGAAACAACAAGGGGGATGGCAAGATGGCTCAGCAGGTAAAGTGTTTGCTGCCAAGCTGGACAACCTGGTACCCACATGGTGGAAGGCATCAACCGACTCTTTTTTTTTTGTTGTTTTCTCTTTTTGAGACAGGGTCTCCCTGTAGCCCCAACTGTCCTGGAACTCACTATGTGGAACAGGCTGGTCTCGAACTCGGAGAAATCTGCCTGTCTCTGCCTTCCAAGTGCTGGGATCAGTGGTGTGCACACCACACCCATGCAGTTGCACCTTAATGTGCGTGTGGGCGCGCGCGCACACACACACACACACACACACACACACAAATAAATACGTTAAAAAAAATGAGCATCTCTACACAAATAAGACAGTTCTAAATCTTTTTGTTTTTATTTTATGTGTATGAGTGTTATGCCTGCATGTGTGTAAGTACACCCGTGTCATGCAGTGCTTGCAGAGAACAGAAGGTGTTGGATCCCCTGGAACTGGAGTTACCAATGATTGTTAACCACCATGTGGGTGCTGGGATTCGAACTCGGATCTTCTGCAAGAACAGTCAGTGCTCTTAACCGCTGAGCCATCTCTCCAGCCCTGACAATTCTAAATCTTAAAGTTTTTACATTTTACTACTCATTAGAAACTGAACACATAAAATCAGTATCTCAATGAAATTTCTTTTCTATTGGAGTGGAGAGGATTTGAATCAAGGCCTCACTATGTAAAACAGACTACTCTAGAACTTACTATGTAGACGAAGCTGGCCTTGAACACATGATCCTCATGCATTCTGCTCCCAAGCACTGGAAATATGGGCATGAACCAGCGTAAGTGGCTCTGTATTTTCCCATGTAATTAGAGTATAAGCAACAAAACAGTAAATTAAAATACATAAAATGTAACTATGCCAATATAAAATTCTCATTACCTGTGTGAATACTCATATGTTCCTGAAGACTCCGTTTGGTAACAAATGATTTAACACACAATTCACACTGGAACTGCTTTTGTGATTGATGGAGACTTTGATGTAATTTTAGACCATGCTTATAAATAAAAGTTTTTCCACAGACCTAAGACAGAAAAGGAATGTTTATGACAGGAAAAAAATGCTATTCTGAAGACTGAAGAAGAAAAAAACCATAATTATTATAAACAAGTATGTTAAGTAATTTAATTAAATTAAAATTTATTCAGTTAATTAGAAAAATAGCCAGGCGTGGTGGCGCACGCCTTTAATCCCAGGACTTGGGGAGGCAGAGGCAGGCGGATCTCTGAGTTCAAGACCAGGCTGGTCTACATAGTGAGTTCCAGGACAGCTGGGGTGACAGGGAGACCCTTTCTCAACCAAAAAAAAAAAAAGAATAAGACTCAGACTCTATTCTGGAGAGATTTAAAATATAACAATTTTTGTTACACACAGTAAATGTAGCCACAGTGTCAATAGCTATGAAAGATTCTACACTCTCACTCTCTATTTCTGTATGTACTTTCCATGAAGTATACATTTTAAGTAGTGCTACATTGGAAGACCAGTGGCTCAACTAATACCTAGTTTTTAAATTTATGAATAAATCACCATTAGAACTTAACTTCAAAAATAACTGGGGCAGTGGAGAATAACAGTAAGTGACAGTATGAACGAGACAGGGTGCCCATGAGCTTATAAATACTAAATACTGGTGAAGTGTTCGCTTCTAATGAATTCTACTTTTACACAATTAGGTGCTTAAAAAAGAAATAGTAAAAATCTCATTGGTTCCACAGTTGTTTAAAAATGAAAACAGTGGGTCATGCTTATATGCAAGGCCTTACATTATAGGTGTTACTTGAAACTTTTCCATGTTCTAAACAGCCCAAAGCTAGATAATCACAGAATTCTTTCATGGGGAGTGGACACATTACAGCATTTATTACCCTCAGTCCTCAGTACCAGCAACAGCTTAGGCAGGACTTTTTCTGAGTAGTATTTGTTTATGCCATGCATCCTTCTCCAGTACAGGTTGTTTCTAAGGGATGTTTAGGGTGATGAATTGGCTCTTCTCACCCAGTAGGTCTTCTGGACTCTTAATAAAACATTTCAAACATTTTTAACAGATTCCTTCCAATTGACAACTTCAGAGAGCAAATTAAAGACTACAAGAGGGTATACCACTTAATCTAGGCAACAAACGAACTGAAGACCTAACTTTCCCTGACATTTTACAAGAGTGAGGATGACTACAGAATATACTATCCCAGCTCATCACTACAGTTAACTTCCAATCTTCTTTAAATAACAAAAATAAACATGCTTTTACCTGGCATGCATGTGGCTTGACTCCTGTGTGCTTCAACATATGTATTCGGAGAGAATATAATTTAGGTAGTGTCCTTCCACATATGGAACATATAAATTCTCTTTTGGTTCTGCCCTTCTCAGATGATGTTCCTGATGTTTCGTTAGATGTGGAACTGGATGAAGATGAAGTAGGTGCATCTTTTCTCGTATGTCGAATGAGGTGGGCCCGCAGTGAGGCGCTATACTGAAACTGCTTTTTACATAACTAAAAAAGAAAATTCTTTCTAAATATATTTCCATTACAAAATGTTGCATGAAACTCAATTCATATTTCAATGTCCCATTTCTGAATACAATTACAAAAATCAATAAAGAGATACACTGCTTAGCTGGGCATGGGTCTCCCAGCACCTGGGAGGCAGAGGGCAGGTGGATCTTTATGAAGTTCAAGCCCAGCCTGGGCTACATAAGAGTTCCAGGCCAGCTGGGGCTACAGGGAGACCCTGTCTCAAAAAGACAAAAA